CTGTGGCCAACTACCAAAAACTGACAAATTAATCGAGCAAGGGGTGATATTCGTATAAATTCGCCGGACAGAGAAGTATGCCCCTCATCAACCTCCTAGTAAAGGTTCTGGATCCTCACGGTCTCGTTTGCCTGGGATCCGCATTCATTCTTCGGAATATCTTGGTTTCAGTATGGTCGGACGTGACTCACAGGTCTGGATGTCAGGACACTCATCATTGATTGCGGCACTTCACGATCTTCGGATCTGGGATCGGCAGCACGGTCGACGTTTCGGGCAGGTCCACCATAGTCAATGCAAGTAACTTGGAGCTCAAGGTTACGACAGATCTTAAGAGGACTTTTCTTATTAGTAGGCACTTCCCATAAATGCAGGCCTTAATCTTCGATGTTTTGATTGGATAAAAATACACGATATCAACACGTGGCTGACAGTTGGCTAACAATCCGATTCTCTCCGAAGCCCAAGAACGCCTCCAGGCCAGCACACTGTATGTGCATCATTCTGCACCAGCGAAGCTCAACGGAGAGAGTCCAGCATGCGGGAGATGGAGGTCCAATTCCTCCCGCTGGTTATATTTGCTGTGACAGTGTGCTGGTGGGTCGTGTAGAGGTCAAGACGATAATATAAAGCTGGTCCGAGAGCTGAAGTGCAGACTGACGAAAGTGAACTTGCAACTCTTCGGCAGTCCGTTCACTGGATCTTCAAGGTCCGGTATCCGGGATGTACTTTGGGCTACCGTCGGCATTCGGAGTGTTCCACTCGAAATCATCGGCATTCGGGATTCTGGGTCGTCCTTCAGGGTATTCATCACTCACTCGTTCTGGGCGTTGCGTCATTCGGGGTATCCGTCCATGTTTCAGGGCACTTGGGTCGCTATTGTCCTGGGCGTTCATCATTTGGTCAGCATTTGGAGTTTCGGGGTGTCTTCTTCGTTGTCCGTCCGGGGTTGGCTTTATTCCTTCATCATCAGCTCCATTCCAAGTTCTTCTCTCAAGTCTTGGTCCATGGCTGCTCTGGATTACCAACCAGGAAACTTCTCGTCTTCTCATCTTTGTACTTGCAGTCATCCAGGGTGGCTTGGCTCTCGTCGTTCAGGATATCTCTTCCCTTGTCGCAACGTCAGAGATACTTCCCAAAAGGAGCTACAAGATCGGGCAGCACGAGTGCTACGTATGTATATGGACTGAGCGAATAACTATTACTGTGAGTTCTTGTTTCATACAGAATCGGCATGCTGTGGAAGTGAAGGGGTGCAGTACACAAGATGGTCAGTACAGCAGTACAGCAGCTCCGCTGATAGAGAGCAAAGCATAAGCTTGATGAGGACATCTGGCTCGCGGAATGGAGGTTCAGCGGATGAGCTACAGTATATGGCAGGTAATACACACGTATATCGATACTACTAACATTCTCAATCCAAATCTCTCAAAATTAAGTGTGGCATTCGACATGGAGGTTTGATTACCTCTTCGTGACGTGCTATCTTGCCGACTGACGATTAAGAATGGGGAACCGCTGCAACTGCCGTGACAAATGCCTCACACACACACACACCGTTTGCCTACAAGGTTGCTGAAGGTTACGGCGTGCTTAGTGCAAAGGTGGAGGAGCCTTTTTCTAGCAAGCTACCAGGGCAATGGAGAACCGAATTCGACATCTACGTGAAGCCCAGCAACAACGCAAAACAAAAGTTTGAAGTCATTTTCCAAGAGCGTACGGCCCTACAATGTCAATTGCAGAAAATTTGGGACCGAGCAAGACTGCGACATAATGGACAAGCAGCATTCGAGTTGGAGTTAGTCATCTATGTACCGAAGCCTGAAGCACAATCAGCACTACGTCGTGCAAGTGTGGCTTGCATTCAGGAGCAACTACCAAGCGTAGCAGCGTTTCTTAGAGCGCAACAAGTTGAAGCTGGACCTGCTTCACAGCGTTATATGGCTGTCACTCAAGCGCGACTACCGGACGAAGCACCAATTTCCATTTTAGAAACGTCACGTTCTGGCAGCTACAATATATAGACAGTCAGCAAGCAGCGATGGATCAATCCCTGAACGAAGCAGCAGCAGTGTGAGGAGAAATACCGTATCGTTCGAGTAAAGCTCCACGGCGTTGTCGTAGCGTTGCTGGTAAATATCAGCGATCTTCCGGAAGCTCTTGGCCTACCCAACTACAGTTTGCGACTTCCATTTAGGCCGCCGACAGATATTGACACTACTGCACCTACAAACAACATTAAAGATCTAGACCATAACGACAAGACCTCACAGTGAAGGAGCATTAGAAAAGGAGAATCTATTCGTTAATTGCTAATGGACAATTGATTCGGTTTGTATTCACAATGGCTCTAAAGATTTTCACCACTTCGTTTTGCCTTGTGGATTTGTACATCGCAACATTCAGGACAGCCAGTGGGTCTTCTCGAAATGCCATACTCCCTTATCTTTGGATCCAGCTTTTGAGCAGCTATAATCCACCTTCAATTGGATTACGATGCGGTGGCAAGAAAACCAACAAAGCCCCAGTAACATCGACGAGCTCTTGCGGTTACTTGTGTATGTGTATCTTAGCATTGTCCATGATGGCAATGTAACGTGGCGAAGGCCATAGGTTCAAAAAAAGGAAGGATTATCTCTTTGCAAACTTTGTGGAACTCCATTCGTGTAAAAGTTCCCACCATATCTCCCCACGCAAAAAAAACCTGTACGTTCATTGCAGCAAGCATTGACACACGTTTGCCACGGCTAAAAGGAATCGACATTTGAGCTGGGGTATTTCTTGTCGACCAGCCGTACCGACGCAGAACGGATCGTAATATTAAAATCGATACAAAACAACAAAAAATAAAACAATTAGTTAAAATATGAAGTCAGAGAGAAATACCTTCCATCCTTGGATGTTTCGTCAAGACGATCTGTCCGGTCTGCTATAGTATGGTGCCAACCGAGCCGCAAACTCACGGCGCTCTCTTGGAACGTTCTCCTGTGCACACTTTGTCAACACCTTCCTCGTTCAATTTAGGTCGAAGCGAAGGGCCCGACATATTGTTGAGTTGGACAGGCTGATTGCGTCTTTGAAGAGAGCATGTAGTTCGAACCGCAGCACCTCAAAATAGAAATACGGTTGGTCTTGTACGTATTGCTGCACAAAGTTACAGACATCGGGAGGCCAGCGGGAACCTCGGGCTCGTGGCTTGTCTTTAAGAACATTTCCTGCCATTCGAAATCGGCTGTACCATGGACCTAAGCTACGTTCTGATAAATCTAGAAGAGAAGCTACAGTGGCTGCATCGACAGCATATACGTACATGAACACAATTGCTCGAAGGTCTAGTAAGAAAATCATTTTCAAAGTCCGTTGTTGATGGGAAAGTCTCGAATGGCAGGTAGAATGTCAGGCATTCGGACTTTTCTCGTTAAGAATTACTTGCTTGGGATCTTTAAAGGAAGGTTGAATTGATGCTTTGTGATTGGACGAAACCCATACTATCAGCATAATTTGCTGTATAAATTGGCTTCATTATTCTGCCTAAATTGAAGTATTAACCTATCCCTATCTAAATAGAAGTGATTTTTTTGGAACCGTTTTGCTAAAACAGAAGAAAGGCACAATAGCTTATTCTGTCTTAATGAAGGCTCATCATCCCCGCTTTAAATTCGGCGGAAATCATGCAACCCATAATTAACCTGGAATTAGCTGAGCAAAGGGCATAATTTGAGCTGAGAAGAGAATAGAATTAAGCCAGAACAATCGCGGTAGAATTACTGAAAGTCTCAATACCATCAAATTCATATACCCTCCATCGAACCTCGTTTTTCAAATCTTCTCGATGGACATCCGTGTTTTCCTGGTAAAAAAAAAAAAAAACTCAAGGCGCTACAAACACCATCAGGGAAAGGAGCCAGATCACGCACCCGAAAACTGCAGTCGCTTGTCCAAAAATATTGGGACCATACATGTATTATGTGTATCAACCAATGAACTCAAGTTATTGCTGTATTAAACGTAGTGCTGCTTCAAAACTCGACTGCTCTACCAAGTAGTTGTATTCTGAAGCCTTTTGCTAAGCCTGCCGACGTGCAAAACATCACCACCCTACATAACTGTGTATTCAGTTGCCGAGTAAAACCTCGTTTTTCAAACGGCAATTCCTCGGTACGTAGGCGCGTTGTATAGATGTAGCAAGTGATGGGAAGGTGCACAAGTTGCTGATGATACCTTAGTAATATTTTGATATAATATCGTTATCTCCAAGTTATGAAAAAGACTTTGACGCATTGAAAACCAGACGATTATTGCGCAGTAATTTACGCACTGAATGTAGTTAACGAACAGCAAAAAATACGTGGAAATTCGCCTTGATCTGCTCTTTAATTTAGACTGGTCTGTGGCCAACTACCAAAAACTGACAAATTAATCGAGCAAGGGGTGATATTCGTATAAATTCGCCGGACAGAGAAGTATGCCCCTCATCAACCTCGAAAGATACAATTGGCGCGAATCTGGTTTTGTGTTATTCGTCTAACATCATTTGTATAACTCAATTCCATGTTGTTTTAGTAGAAGATTTCCAGTTTAAACAAACGATCCAGTGTGATAACCCGAGGTATTTAACCATGACTTTAGCCAATAATCATCGCTTATTGCGGTGTATGTTCGAAATGACTTAACGCAACATTTATGTATAGACTTCATTTTACGTCCGAGCAATGCCAACGGCCCTGTATTTTTATTATAGTATTTCATATTGACTTTCAGTTTGGCATGATATAAGTGGATCCAGAAAGGTTGTTTTCGTGTTTCACGATAGGAGCTTCCAGTTGGTTTGAGTAGACACTCGAGATCCTAGACTGTCTACGGTCTCAAAATATATCGTAATAAATAGTACTACCTCCGCTAAGGAAAAACGCGGATTTCTAAAAAAAAAAATCGCAAGTGCTCCAATTCGTTCCTTTAAGATGTGCAGGTGTTCGCTGTGTGAATATCTTGCACAAAATTGGCTATTGGCAGTAGTAGCACGCTAGTAATCAGGACGAGTGCATGAGAGAGGAAGGGCACTTAAAGCAAGTTGCATGATCAACATGTAGCCAGAGGTGTACGTGCTCCGCCAGTTCAACCCAAACATCACTCACGAGGTAGGCGGGGCATCTTGAGGTCCATCTCCACCTCACATCGCAGCGAAAGACAGTCGTATGCTCTCGCTTGAGCAGTAGAGTAGCACGACATCACAGCCTCGGGCGAATGACGATGCAGTATGATATACTTTATGGGAGGTGCTAAAGAAAGCGCAATTGGTGTGTGGTTCTCGCCGGCAAGAATTCCGCATTAAAAAACACATCTTCACACTTCAGTGTCTTTTATTTATATAGGAACATTAGCTAGTACTGGACTCAAACAACCTGCGTTCACATGGGGAGATATTGCGTACTTGTAGTGACCTGTTTGGCGGAAATGATGTAAAAACCGGGAAAACGATTGATTTTTTTTTTTATGTGGGAGGATATTCAAATCGATCTAACATTGTACAAAGCTCACATTGTAAGTGCGTTATTTTGCTTGTCGCAGGTATTAAAACTTTTATTGGAGAAAGTGATACACGAGTAATCGTCCACTACCTAAACTAAAATTCTTCTCCAGTTATTGTTCACTACCTTCGCCACCTAAACAGTATTATTAATACTTTAAAATTCTTATATTGTAGAAATCATCGCGCAGAATAGAAAAATAGCAAGTTGATCGCCCCCTCTGCTGTGTCCAAAAGTGAATCAAATGCAGTTATAAAGACTACAAGTCTTAGTTCCATATAGCTTATTATACTGTAGTAACGTCTGTTTTCAGGCATCTGAAAAGTAGAACATTTCTGGCATTTCGACAGATTTTTTTTTTTGTATTTGCCTTACGTTTTTAAAAAGCTAGAATGGCCACGCCTTGTCGAGATGTTTTTCGTAGTGTTCGTCACTAAACGGAACCTCCGCATCGCCAAAATTGTTACCATCATTTAAAGCTGCACGAGCTGCGTCCGTTAGTTGTTCCCACATGATCAAGTCCTGGTACTCACCTTCCCAATCACCAAAATTCAAATACGGAGACCCCAGGTCGCTCTGATATTGAAAACGGAGAGACGTGTTGGAGCCGTAAATGTAAGTGCGATGATATCTTCGCCCCTCCATTCGATAACCAGCAAAATTGGAAGGCCAAGTTTTAGTCTCCTTGTTGTACCTCGTGTCAGACTTGGACATGGAAACTCCCACAATCTTAGGTGTTTGCGACTCGGGGTTGTCAATCCATACAACAACACTTTTCCAGTCATGGCGCCTCGAAGGAGAATCCATCCAAAAGCCTTTCGGGAAGTACCACGCGTACATGATAGCCCACAGGTCGTTGTACCACCCAGCTCGACCGTAGATCTGCGAGCCTTTAGGCGCATACTTGCACGCGTCGTTCCCGTTCGTTCCCTTCAGTCCACCAGCAACCTCACCAGCAACGTTTACCGCAGGGTACGGAACGCAGACGCTATTGGGGGTGTAAAGCTGCGGCTTGAACTTGACGGCAGCTTTTTCGGAGATCGTGGCAGGCTCGGGTTGAGGGAAAGGTTCGATCTTGTCGTGATCGACGGTCGCACTAGCACAAGAAAGCAGTGCTGCGAAAACTGTTGTAGCGAGAACTCGTAGCTTCATCTCGACCTGGAAAATGATAGAATGAGCTTGACCGCGTGGCGCTGGCATGTACCTGTACCCAGCACAGCGCGAAACATATGGGAATGCAAGTTGAGATCCGCTGCAATCAAGCGAACGAGCTACATCTAGTGAATTAACTTAAGGAAAGGACGTCCATGTCGTCATCATTCGTGTTGATTGCACACCTTCTTCACATCCTCCGATTCACGCAGAAGGCAGCGCTATTAATAGTTACTTTACTGCTGAATGGGTAGGTTACTGCTTCGTGGCAAAATACTACATTTACATGACAATGACATCTTCACGCGAAAAATCCCGATAATTGAATGGATTCCCTTCGCGTTCGCACACCCTGAGCTGCACCGCGTACCGTAATACCCTGGGAGTAATCAGGATTCGTTATGTTCAAGGTTATCCTCTGAAACCGGTCCCGGTTGATAACCTGCTGCTTTTACTGTTAATTTCTCGAGTACATGGACAGATAGCGCCGGATAAATCCGCCCCTATCTGAAAAATTAACTTTCATACAAAACTAAAGTATTACACGCCATGGTCCGATAGGCTAGAAACTGATCGGGCTGTGCAAAATTAGTTTTACAAAAATATATAAATAACAATATGCACTAAATCAGCAATTTCATTAACAAATGCTGATTTGAGTGTACAGAAACGCCATAATACAAAGCCGTGATGGGTTAAAATCGGTTACTGAGTTGTAAGAACCATGGTCGAAGGTGGCGGATATATCCGTCGTTGTCAGTCCTCTACGGCCACCTTCAGCAGCGAGCGAAAAAAAAAATCTATACACACATCTCTGCATACATACATACATACATACATACATACATACATACATACATACATACATACATACATACATACATACATACATACATACATACATACATACAT